AGTCATGAAATGAAGTTTCAACTACAAATATGTAGATTCGCATCGACAAAATTTCCAATAAGCAGGTTTAATAGAACACTTCAGTTTGCCCTTCTTACTATAGACAGCATGATGTTATGCTAATTTTATTATTTTACGTCTACACACGACAAACATCAAAACTGACGATTTGAAGTCGCACTCACGGGGATTGCAGCAGACGATGTTATGTGTCGTTTGCATATACAGGACAAGATGGCGACCGACTCTTATGGTGAACACTTTACGACCTTAGTTCTCCTACGTGCATAATATACTTGTACAACACCATCTTGTACCAGCTAACTGAGAAAGAAAGTAAAATTTTAAATAGATCAGGAAGAAATCCAGATGCCTGGTAATATTTTTGAATCATCGTGTGGGTTTCCTCCATCCATGAGGACTTGAATAAGTAGACATCGGTTCGTCAGTAGGATGAGTGATGCAAATGCCTACTTTAAAATGGACACTATCTACATTGGTTTGATGTCGGTATATCTGTAGATAAGAACATGGATATTAAATTAATTATTACGTTTTCCGGCCTACTCTCGTAATTGTTTGACGAGGAACTCAAATAGTTTCAAGCCATACTAGGGGCTCATATTCATAAGCAGCATTCTGCGACGACACGGCGGTGATTATCGCGCTGCTACTCTCATTAGTATGAGCCGCGAAGGACTTAACGGGTTGCCGGAGCTCCGGCTCGAAGGGCAGGAGTAGGAACGGGGTGGTTTTTATTCAGTAAGAGTCTGACACTCCCTCCCGCCTCACTCAGACTGGAGAAGTCATTTGATGATTTTCGCCCCTTAAAAAATTCTCATTACTATTTCTCACTATTGTCTGGTAATAACTCGAAGATGACTGGTGAAATCAAAGTTGATTTTGAAGATACAAGCACAATACTTATATCTCAATGAAAAAAAATATACCTGTTGTCCGGGACATATATGATTCCTGTTTTATCCCATGAGAGCATTTAATCAGGATAAATATCCTATCACCTAGTCAGCCCATACCCTGCCTATACCTCTATATCAACTTCACCAAAATCCGTTCAGTAGTTTCAGCGTAATTGATGGACAAACATCGAGACAAAGAAACTTTGGGGCGATCTACTATACTACACTACTATCTATCTAGCACGTTAGAGCAAAATTACAACAATTTTAAAGAAACATAAACGCAACAAGAAGTAGCATCATCCAACAAAACTTCAAAACCAAGTAATCAATCATCCACAACTCCAATACAAACAGAAACAATACCACACCACACAATATTGAAACCAATACATTATTCAACTACACAAACTTTTTGACTACAACAACTTTAAAACTCCAAGCATCTTATTCCTCTTAACATTCCTAAAAGGGGGGCCTAAATTGCCAAAAGCTTGTCCATTCTCACCCCATTTCGTCCCCTTAGACGAAATTTGGGGGTGAAATAGGCCATTGGACACGGTAATGGTGTGAACTTTTTGGCATATTCTTTTTTGAATGGACCTTATTTCTGGTTTTCACAATGTGAACGAGAACATAGGTTTGTTATTTGGGTCGTTTCATGTTTTTTGTTTTACTATTTCTTTTGGTTGTTTTATAGATTATCCTTCTAATCCTACTTCCTACTATATCCTTACTATATAATATTATAAATCGGAAAGTGCGTTTCTTTGTTTGTTTGTTTCGCTTTCACGCCGTAACTATTAAACCGATTGCTTTGAATTTTTGGAGATGTATAGTTAAAAGTCCGGATTAAATAATAGGGTACTTTTATCCCGGAAAAATTTGATATTCCCGAGGGAAAACAGAAGTATTGGTATAGATGGCCCTGTGAGTATCGGTATATATCACATAGGCTACTTTTTATCCCTATGTGACGCGAGCGAAGCCGCGGGTAAAAGCTAGTAATGTTATAAATGCGAAAGTTTGTGAGGAGGTATGTGTGTGTGTGCGTGTACGTGTTTGTTACTGGTTGACGCAAAAACTGCTGACCGGATTTAGATTAAACTTTACAGTAATGTAGGTAATACATCAGAATAACATATAGCCTACAATTTGTAATGACTTTATGTTATTTTTGGCGTAATCTAACACAAAATATTAGCCAAATAGGGCCTTTAAGACGTATCTGGGCGTACGCTGTCTAAACCATAGGAGTTACACTAAGATAATGTACTGTGAGATTGTTGGTCTTGATTAGTTCTAAATAAAAGTACACTACAGCATATTTCCTATAGTCCTATGGTTCTATGGTAACCAACATGATGATTTGTGATTGTTGTTATGGCGTCCTACTTCCATAGTAAATTTTGGCATGGACAGACAAAAATGAAGCTGTGGGTTTTCAAGGACTAATATTAGTATTCAGCTGCATCAGATATCAGGGAGTGTAAAGAAAAAATACGAATTCAATCAACAGAATACAATTTATATTAATTTGTTCCTTCTTCACGTTAAAATGGATGAAGGGATTCGGATGAAATTAGGAACAGGAGTAGATTATAGTCCGAAATAACACATAGGCTACTTTATTCTACGGAAACGCGAACGAAGCCACTGGGAGAAGCTAGTCATGAGTTAGCTAGGTGTTAGTATTATGGCTTGCCTTTATCGGTTTGTTAGATCCATTACTGCATAAAACGGGGTTTGGGTAAGTATATACCTAATATAGTAGCCAGTAAAGTCTAGAATTGCATTGCAATTTCTATTTATTATGTACTCACAATATGTATGACAATAATCAAGGTATGCCACCTACAAGTCACCTTCGTTCCATATTTTTTTAATAATCTACACGAAATGTCTTATAAATGAAAACATAATGAACACAAATAAGGTTTAATTTAATAAGTATTACAGTAATTTAGTTCAGAAATCACTGAATATTTATGAAGAAAGAAAAATTAATTTATTTTTATTAAAATCTGGGCCAAGATCAGCACTTTCTCCGTGCATCAAATAATTAAAAAACTAGGGCGTCATGTTCATGAAAAAGCCTAATTCAATTTTGATTAAATATTTTCATTTTCTTTTGCAGAGTCGAGGATGAGGCAGCTTCGCCTGTTACAAAAACTAGGTATATATTTTGGAAATACTATTTTTCAAATTTAGTTTTGATAAAAACTTTTTTTTTAGTCTATCCTAATAAGAAGGGCTTTTTTCCTAAGAGAAAAACGTTAGCCCTATTATAGGATACAAAAGTTACGGTTGATAACTTAATATCTGCCATATTCGAATAACCCATGAGATTTCGGATTCTTTGGGGTCGGAAAAGTCAAAATCAAAGCATTTACTTCAATTAATCCTTACTTAGGGACTTTGAAACTTCAAATATTGAATTGTCTGTTTGTCAGTGAAGCTAGGCTAAAACAAGTGCTAACGGTTTTTTTACTTGATGAAGTTAATCATATTAATGAACATTCGTTGACGAACAACTGCCTCGTTGACCGAGTGGTCGCAAGTGCGACTGCTGGGCAAGGGGTCTCGGATTCGATTCCCGGGTTGAGCAAAGTTTTACTGGGTTTAAAAAAAAAATCTCAGTAGTAGCACGGAGTCTGGAATTGTGCCCGGTATATGGCAATAGGCTCACCCCCTATTACATGGGACTCATAACATAATTAGTGAAAAGTGGGTGTTACATTTTACAGTGGCATAATGTACACCTCTGCCTACCCCTTCAGGGATAAAAGGCGTGATGTTATGTATGTACATGTAGACGAACGAAGAACGAAGACTATTTATGTCTTATTTTTGTTCCATTTTCTGCACAATGTTTTTTTCTTTAAGTTACTTTCCCATCTTTCACTCATGACATAACTTCCATCCCTTTCCAATACAAGTCTAAGTTTGGACGGTATATCAAAAACAATATTAGCAAATTGGTTCTTTTAAAACCAAGTACCATTTAACTTACAATATTCTACGTCTGGCCTTCAAATATCAGTCTGTCTGACTGTAGCAGAAAATCTAATTACAGCCTGTCTGTCTACCGCCTTGTCTTAGACTGAATTGCGTAAAAATAGAATTGAAAATTCTGAAATAGGTTCGCTTCGCTAGCTGTACCTTCTTTTAATTTATTTTCTGTCAATCGTTTTACTTTGCTGTCTTACTATTATTGTGGACTATTTTAGGATTTTCTTTAAGTTTGAATTTCGGAGTGACTCTACACTACAGTATAAAACAAAGTCGCTATCCGCCGTTTGTCTGTCCCTATGTATGCTTAGATCTTTAAAACTACGCAACGGATTTTGATGCAGTTTTTTTTAATATATAGAGAAATTTTAAAGGAAGGTTTATATGTACGATACATGTATATTGCACCCGTGCGAAGCCAGGGCGGGTCGCTAGGAATATTAATAATCTGTAGTAGGTATATACAGCAGAGAAGTAAATAGGTATACCTGCCTACCTAGTTTTCGCCTTTCCAGATTTTGTAGGAAATTAGTTGTATTATTATCTCCCGGGAGGAATAAGTCAAGTTACGAGTCATCTTTTTCTTTTTGAGGGTGGGAAAATCATACATAACATCACGCCTTTTATCCCCGAAGGGATAGGCAGAGGTGCATATTACACCACTGTACAATGTAACACCAACTTTTCACTATTTATGTTATGTTTCCCATGAAATAGGGGGTGAGCTTATTGCCATATACCGGGCACAATTCCAGACTCCGTGCTACTACTGTAATTTTTTTTAAAACCCAGTAATACTTTGCCCGACTCGGGAATCGAAGCCGAGACCCCTTGCCCGGCAGTCGCACTTGCGACCACTCGGCCAACGAGGCAGTCTGGTGGGAAAATCATCCAATGATTGTCCCGCCCGGGTGAGGCGAGAGGGAGTGTCAGACTCTTATTGACTAAAAAGTTACAAGTCACCTTGTATACCTGACTCTAGATAATCCAGTAAAAATATGTATTAACCGCTTGTATGCACCGATATGAGATACAATAGATACGATATTAGACACACGACGCGACGGGTTAAAAGAAAATTTTGCCTACTTTTAGCCCATTATTTTATGCCCTATTAATTACGTTATCTTGACCCCGAGAATTCACAAATGCGTGTTTAACAGTCGCACACGCAACTAATAAAGCAAAGACCAGTTTTATAAGAAATAGGTCGACAAAAACAAAAAATGAATCTAGTTGTTTCGAGTTGCATCATCGCATTAAAACCTGACTATGATTACACTTAATTGGTAATTAAAAATGTAGTTACGATTTACTAACTAACTGCTGGATATTCAGTTTTTATCCTAGTCGTTAATCGAGAAAAAATGTAGGTACTATTAGACCGTGTTGTGTTTGGATTTCGTGGTTCCTTATCTATACTCTATACTAATATTATAAAGGACGGACTGGACGGATTTGAAAAATTCTTTCTGTGTTATATAGCCCATTTATCGAGAAAGACTATAGGCTATAAAATATCAAGCTACGATTAATAGGTGCCGAGCAGAGCGAGTGAAACCGCGCGGAAGTAGCTAGTAAATAATAATACTAATCTAATTATTATGTCTTTCGGCTAATTAAAAATAATTACGTGACGTGAGTATTTATTGTGAAATTGTGCCCGGTATATGACAATCAGCTCATCCCCTATTACAAGAGACGTAAAATAATAAACAATGAAAAATAAGTGTTACATTACAGTGGTAGTAATGTGCACCTCTGCCTACCCCTTCGATGATAAAAGGCGTGATGTTGTGTTATGTGTCATTGGATGATTATCCCCCTCAAAAAAAGAGGAGCTACATTTGTGATGGCCCGCTGCTCGAATGAACTCCGAGACCCCTTGCTCAGCAGTCACACTTGCGACCTCACGTCCAATGAGGCACTCTATCAATTCATTTGTGTAACAACGAGCCTAAATAATAGAAAAACATTTTTTTCTCAACAATCTCAATAACACAAATTTACAAAGAAATCTATTATTTACAGAACCCTGAAAACACGTTCAGAATTGTTCAGTTTTGTAGTTATTGTTACTTGAGGTGGCTGTGTTCAGTGTTTAGTGTTGTGCATACAAAATACTGTTCACGTGCGAATAACTATCGATATCCTATTCAGTTTAAGTTCAAATTAAAATGATTATTAGGAAAAGGAGATATCATTATATGCGGTTAGTTTTTTTCTAATTTATTTATTCACGCGTGTAAAACCTTGTTTTTTTTTAATGATGGATGCGTCATCGAAGATTCTATCCTGTGTTGTGGGATTTATTAAAAAATAAACACAAAATTTCACATACATACATCCAAACTAGGAACAATAAATAGTGGATCACTCAATTTTCGTGTGATAATCGGACCAGCATCTATATCCATTTTGTAGTCACAAGAAACATCAAGAAATTTATTTTTTATCGATCAAAACCGTCACAGCATTAGTGTCCCAGAAAAAAAAAAACAAAAAAATACGTCGCCAGTATTTTTTATTAAACTAATAAGTAGGTACTTTAAAATATCCATTTAACCCTATTAGACATTAGGTACATTTAAGTGGTCTAGTTGGCGCCTTAAAATAATTAGGTAATATAGGTAATTAGGTCACCATTACTTAGGGTGGATCAATTCAAATAACACGTGCCTGTCCACTTATAAATAATACCTAAGTACTATTATACTATTAATCATCTAACTAAATTATTAATTGTATTGTACGGCATAGATAGGTACTATTAAATACTCACATGACTATTTCACGAGGTAACCCGAGTAGTTTCGGGCCACGTCAGGGGCCCATAGTTCTGAGTATCATGTGCCATATGCTATTTCTTTACGATAGTTATAATACAAAAACATGAAAAATTGGGTTCCAAAGTATATTGTAAGTATAAGCATTTAGGTATATTTTACTGAAAACTCAATTTACACCACTCAAGTATCGAAGTCACGTACTTATTGCGGTCACTAATTGTTGCTAGAACCCAGTGGCGTGCACAGGTTTTCTAGACAGGGTAGGCAATTAAATATCGTATGATTAAACCCCTCCCCCCCGGCCATACAATGACAATCATACTCACACAAGACAGGTACCTACATGTACAGAATACATTTTGAAAAGTGCGTTCAAGAATATTGTGGTTTATTCTGTCGCCAAATTACATACACTGACATCTCGCGTATTTTTTGTGAACTACTTCATCAGCTATGGAATAAGCCAACAAAACTTACAAATAATTGAACATCTATTAATTATACTAATAATGAAGCATAAATTTGATGAACCAAATTCAATTATCGAATTGCTAGATAATCTATTCAAAATCATAATAATATTATATTATATTATATTACGAATTTAAGAACGTAGGTACCTACCAACAAACAAAACAATAACAAGCGCGGCCGGCTGTGGCCGAGCCGAGTATTTATAAGCGGTACATTTGTTATTACATTACATAATTATTAATAATAAATTAATATGTAAATCAGTACAACCCGAAGTCTAAGTTGATATTTTTAAGAATTATCAAACAAGAAAATCAATAAAAGATCCATTAAAGTACATAATATTTACATTACCTACCTTTGACTTGGGTCAATTCTCGTAACTTGAGTACTGCCTATGGTCATTACCTGAATCTAGTCGTTGTAGGACACATTTTTGCGAAAACTTACTGTTTTTAACTTTCAACAAACACAAAAAATTATCTATTATCAACACAAACTTCACAATCGAATAATATAGGTACTTGTACTAGACACTGATAAACAAATACACTATTTGAAAAACCTACACATACATTTAACTACTTCTACACATATTTATGCAACTTTATGTTTAAAACTAATTCCTTATAATTTAAACGAAAACATAAACAAAGCGATCGCACATCACATGAAAACAATATGGCCGAAAACATTGGAATGAATGAACCCATCGTAGTCAATTGAGTGTTTATTATAAAAAAATTATAGCTATAACATTAAGGCAACCCAGTGTTTAATTATAAAAAAACAAAACGTTAATTTACATAAGTCAAATGGAATTCCGTCATTGTCTTATTATTATTTTCCAATAAGAAACATTCGTTGATAACAATTTGAAACTTTGAGTAGCGGCAACTTGACGTTTT